AGCTTGATCAGGAGAAAGCACCGGCCCCAGACGGCGACCAGGCGTGGTTGCTGCATGGTGATCAGGAGTTGCTTCACCAGGAGTTGTGGGGAAAGGTTCACCGTGAGCATGTGTTGCGAAGTCATGTTCCTTTTAATTCCAGCTGTGAGCATTGCGTGCGTGGTAGAGGTCTTGAACCAGCTAGGAAAATCGAGAGGGATTCCGGAGAGGGAGCCCAAAAGGAGGTTCAGATCGACAAGTTCTTCTACAAGGGGATTTGGTTCCTGGTGTTGGTGCTTGTTGGTTGCTTTGCCATCGGAACAGTGATGTACCGTGAAGTTTCAGGACCGCGTGGAGCAGCAGCGCGTGAGGTGATGCTTGGAGAGATGTCGGCGTGGGGACGTAGTGTTGGCTTGGTTGGAGTTGAAGCGCGTGACTTGTCGGTTTGCGTGAAGTCGGATCTTGAGGGGGTAGTGAAGAACCTTGCTCAGGGTTTTGCTGATACCATGACCGTTGGTGCGGTTGAGGTGTCTGATGTTCCGGTTGGTCGGCACGCCCCGGTCGCAGAGAGGGCCATCCGAACACTGAAGGAAAACGCGAACACGTTGTGCGCCGGATTGGAGCAAGTTGGCCTAGAGCCATGTGGCAGAGGAGTCAGCTTCCTTCTCTCTCACTGTGCTCAGGCACACAACCGCTACCAAATCCAGCCTGGATCGGCAATGACTCCTGAACAACGTAGTTTAAGAACTATGAGGCAGCCTCGGGCGATATACGTCTGGGGAGCGTCAATCTTGGCCACACCTCCGCCGAGTCTACGACAATTCATCACGGGCAGATATGGACAGGCTGCCTACTTAGGCCCTGAAGTCGCGGGTGGCAGCCATCTGGTGCAGTTCCGACTGAAGGATGGTTCGTTGAAGATTGCCCGGTCAGCCCGAATCAGGATGTTGGTGCCCATGACCTTTGAGTTGTCAGCCTTGCGTGGTATTTGCCGTATGTTGCCCGAGCGTGCTGGTGACGTTGTGCGTGGTTTGCCAGCGGTTGATCAAGGGAACATGCGTGATCTTCCAATCCCAAACACCGAGACTCGCGGACCGCCAGCATCGTGGGTCGAGGAAAATGGCAGGACCCCGAGGTGTCGAGCGTGTCGATTGAGGGGTGTTCCAGCGGACAAGGCATGGCACACTCAGAAGTGTCGTGACAGATACGCTGCGTACGTGAAGAGCTCTTTTGATCCGAATCAGTTTGTGCTTGATGATGCCCAGCATGAGTTGGAGATCGAAGGAGTTGAGCTTGATCTTGGTTCGCGTGCTTTTGGTGAGCTTGACGTCGGGTTGGAGTTGCCTGATGATGTGCAGGATTATGAACCGACTGAAGATGAGGGAGAGCGAGGTCTCGGTGATTCCTTCCTGCCTGAAGGGGTGCTTGAGGGTGAACTTCGTCCCGGAGACTCTGTTGGAGTTGAACCTGCAGCTTCAGAAGAGGCTGACTTCATGGAAGTTGAGCCAGAAAGCCTGGATCGGGTGCCAGAGCCAGAGTCTGATGCCATGGTCAACAACGTCTTGTTCCGTGAGTCATTGGGTTTCGCCGCGGTTGCAAATCCCAGTACCGGAGGACAGACAGTGAAGCTTGGTGGTGAGACTCTTGTGGTTGAAATGCCCTCGTCTTCCAAGGATGATGTCACCGGGCATGCATTGGACCTTGGTCTGACATACGAAGGCATGTTGCGTGAGTTGAGTGCGCTTGAGTCCCTTGCAGTCGGTGATGTGATTTGGCATGTGGATCCGAAGCAGAAAGTGATATCCACAAGATGGGTGTCAAATGCAAAGCTGGAGCGGGTTGACGGCAAAGAAAGACCACTGGTCCGTTGTCGGGTTGTTGCGCGTGATTTCGCCCAGGGAGCAACGGCTGCTCAGCTTGGCATTTCTGCGGCGACCAGCTCAGCCGAGGCATTGAGGACCTTCCTCTTTTATGCCGGCTCGAAGAGGCAGAACGTCGTAGGCCTCGACGTCAGTACGGCGTTCTTGTTCGCAGAGTTAGAAGAAGAAGACGGCACGGTGGTGGTGCGGCTCCCTGCTGGAGTTACCGGTCCCAATGGACGCCCTGGGTTCATGCGACTTCGCAAGGCTCTTTATGGGTTGAGAGCCGCGGCCCAGACCTGGGCTCGTCATCTCGCAAAGCTCCTCAAGCGCCTCTGCGACCTCACTCCATGCGAGACAGAGCCATGCCTCTTCTCAGGTGTGGTTCTCGGTGGACAGAGGGTGGCAGTGTTGTGCTACGTAGACGATCTCCTCATCAGCGGCGACAGCGACGAGGCCATCTACTACGTGGTGGAGAAGCTTAAGAGCGCGGTGAAGATCAAGGTGACCGCTGACTTGGATCGTGATCAGCAAATCACGTTTCTTGGTCGTCAAATCACCAGGAAGAAGGGCGAGGACTCTTTGGTGATTGGCATGGCAGGCGAGTACTACCAGGAGATCTATGAGGGTTTTGGACTTGGGAAAAGTCCGAAGTCGTGCCCGACGCCGCCGAATCTTCGAGAACTTTATGACAGAGAAGAAGAAGTCTTGGAGCGGGAGTTGAGCTCGGAAGCTGCTGCTCGATATCGCTCTACGCTGGGACGCCTTTCATGGTTGGCCATGACGCGCGTGGATCTAGCATATTATGTTTCCATGCTAGCTCGAGGCCAGGCCAGTCCACGTGAGAAGCATGAACGTGCGATGCGGATGGTATTACGGTATCTTCGGCATGTTCAGGACTTTCGACAAATCGTCCATCCAGTTGATGAACGGAGCCTTCGGTTGGATTGCTACGTGGATGCGTCATGGGGCAGTGAGAGGAGCGTTGATCGCAAGAGTGTGAGCGGTGGTTGCATCATGCTTGGTGGTTTCTGCTTGAAAGCGTGGTCACGGCTTCAACAAGCTGTCGCTCTCAGCTCAGCAGAGTCGGAGTTGTACGGATTGGTTGAGGGAGCAAAGGAATCACTTTCAATCCGAAGGGCAATTTCCCACGTGTTTGGATGGGATGAGTTGTGCGCACCGCACCTCTTTTGCGACTCCGAGGCCGCCATTGCCATCAGCAGGGCTGACGGCTTGAGGCGTGTCAGACATATAGATCTGAGAGCATGCTTTATACAAGATCAGCTCCGACAGCGACTTCTCTTCATCTTCGGAGTGCGAGGAGCCTCCAACGTCGCGACCTCTTCACAAAATCGTTAGATGCCCGGACTACGTTGAAACACATGTTGAGCCTTGGTTTGTCCGAAGTCACTGTTGCAGCTTGCGTTGGTGAGTTGGCGTGTTTCGTTGGCTTGCTTGGCGCTGCTGTGGCTGGCAAGGATCATGTATCTCTTGCAGATCGGTATCGTTTGATGGAGTTTGCCAAGTGGTTGGTAGTTGAGTTCTGTGCGCCTCCTATGTCGAGCATGTTGGCTGCGTCGCGAGCGTGCTCCTGGGTTGGTGTGTTGACTGTCAGTGAGGCAGATGACGGCGGAGATCCGGCCACTACAGCGCAGCTTCAACAGATCTGCACTCTCCACATCCGCAGGGGGGGTTTCGTCTACTTGTGGGCTAGTACTCCGTGCACCGGTGGTTGTCTGTACCAGCATCTACATGCACGTGATCCAGCCTACAGACGCGGTCGGTTGGCACGGCACTGGTCGCTACACAGGAAGCTGTGGAAGGCTTTTATGTCGCTGTGTGACTACGTCCATGCTTGGTCGATCGAGTGGCCCCGAGCCTGTGCTTACTGGTCATGGAACCAGACTATCCGTTTTCTGCAGTCGCGACCGTACATGTTGCACGATGTGTTGGTTGACGGTTGCTCGCTTGGCATGCGTGGTCGAGATGGCGAGTTGATCTACAAACGTTGGCGTGTCATCACGACGATGGAGTCGGTTGCTCGCGGCTTGTCGGTCTTTCGGTGCCCAGGTGATGGTCATCCACATTCCGCCAACTTCGATCTCAAGAATACCCAACACTACCCGGCGAAGTTGACGAACGCTTTCTTGCACGCGTTAAACGCATGACACCGCGAGATTTGCTCAAAGTTTTTCCCTCCTTTTTACTTTGCCTTCGGTACGGTGTATAGAGCATAGGACGTGCCATGGCTGATATGGTTGAGGTTGAAAACGCTGTGAGGCGCACTTGGGTTCGAGAGCTCTGGATGCAATGGGTTCCTCAGCAGCAGGTGGAAGTCAGTTTGATCGCCTTCCTTGCGATGTTTTCCTTGGCGATGCTTGGCAGCTTCCTCGCTGGAATCTTTGTGCAGCAATACCGACAGCGTCACAGCCATATTCTATCTTTGAGTGAGCTTCTTACCTTTCTTCCGGTGGAACAAAGTCGGAGAGCCATTATCACTACGCGGCATGGATACGCCTTTCATGTTCGCAGCGATTGCCCCGCCCTGCGCAATACCCACCCAGGCAATCTGCAGCGTCGAGTTGCTTGTGAGCTTTGTCTGCAATACTTGCGCGTGGACCAGCCGACACCCACCGTGTCGAGGGGGGGTGTAGAAGTTCGAGAACTGTGCGTCATCCTGTGAGGGTGCGACACGGTGAGTTTTGCAGTTTTGTGTGCATAGCTTGGAGTCTGCTCAGCTTTTGAAGTTTTCCCAGTAGCCTGAGTACGATTAGCGGTGCAGGAACGCTTTGCCTCAAAGGGAACCACTCTCGTCGAGTTTCGTGACTTGAGGGTAGTTTTGGAGGTCTTTTAAGCCGAGCTGTCAAGTTGGAGAGCTGTGATACGTTTTCCACTTTGGCTCAAGTGACGAGCACTGGTGTGAGTGCTGCAAGCCAAAACAGAAGTGTTGTCCGAGTGTCTGAGCTTGCTTGCTTGGTTTGGACTTGTGTGAGTTGGCTTGGTTGTATCCTTGGTGCCTTGCTTGGCATCTCGGTTTTTTAACGCTCTCCATTTGCGTTTTGGTGCAGTTCACAGACTTCCCCCGCTCGTGATAGGGGGCAGCTGTGCATGGTTTCAAGCTAGTTTTTCGCGGGAGCTTGGTGCTCTTCATTCTTTTGGACTATGGAGCAGCCCTTGTGCATTGTCAAGCGCTTCCAGAAGAAGCCTGCATTACAGGTGGCATCTGATCCTGATGCGTCCGTCTCTAGTTTCTGTGAGGGCCCTCACACACCATTACGCGACCAGCCCATCTTGACAACTGTAGACACGCTGGATTTTGAGAACATTTTGTTCAGCTCAGATGCTGGAGATGGGCAGGCTGTGGATGCATGGTCACCGGAGGTCAATGCAGCCTTCCCGCCTACGCCACCGAGGCTGCACACTGCATTGCAAGATTCTTTGGACTCGGGCAGCTCTGGCTCCTGGAATTTGGTACGAGGTGCACCTGAACTGACGTCCCCTATCAGGCGTTTTTCATTGGATGAGCCGTTGGCTTCGTCTGCAGAGTGTCAAGGTTTTCCAGAAGCTGCTCAGGTTGCCACAAGAAGGACCTTGAATCGGCAACCGGCAAAGGGGGCCACGAATCCAAAATCGCGCCCCAAGTGTGTGGCGCCGCCGACAAAGAGGCCGAGCAGCTTACATTCTCGTGATACCTTGGGGCTGACACCAGCCTTGCCCAGGCCGTCACTGCCTCCGGCGAGAGCATTTGTGAGCATGCCGAAGCAAGCCCCCAAACCTCGTCCTGTTCCTGCAGCACGTGGACACTACACTTCCGACCCATCTCAGTTACATGGGGGAAGTGCTACCAAAAGGTTGCATTGGTCACTCCCCGCTGAGTCGGGGGGTGGTGTGAGCAAGATTCGCAAACATTCAGAGGTTCATGAAAAGCAGTGGCAGAAAGCCTTGCATGTCTGGGTTGAACTGTGTCGATTTGTGCTCCTCGCTGCTGGGGGAGATCTTTCAGAGCGCTAACTACATGCAGCTGCTGGAACAGTTGCTACGCAGGGTGTCAGACACAACAGCACTTCGTTACATTTCTGTGCTCTGGGGCCTTTTCTGTACTGCGCAAGATCTCTACGAATCATTGGCCACATTGACGCAGGTGCAACTTGTGGATGCGATACATGTTTTTCAACAGTCTCGCAACCGGCACGCTTCGGTCCATTCCTCGAATGTCTTGAAGGCACTGCGTTGGTTTGCATCTACAGTACAGCCGGAAAACTTTCCGTCATTGCATCAGGGCCTTTTTCATGCAAAATCATGGCAGTCACAGTCCGTGAAGCGCGAGGCCATCCCACTTCCACTGGGTTTCATTTACTGGCTGGAGTGTTGTATTGTCTTGGGCAGCTTCACTCCGCAAGAAATGCTTTTTGCGGGTGCATTGATGCTCTGCGTATGGGGCAGCTTGAGATTTGGAGATGCACAACATTTGCGCTTGCAGGATTTTTACATTGATTACGATAGCATTCGTGGCGTGGCTTACCGCACTAAGGCCAAAGCTTTCATGCCCTTTGGCTGTATAACCGCTGGCTTGACATCTATGCCTGGGGGGCGATCATGGGTTTTACACTGGTTGCATTCCTTCGCGAAACAGGTGACCCTCTGTAGAGAAACTGGCGACTTCCCGGATTACATTTTCCTGGCCTTCGACTCAGGTGAGGTTCGGCCGATGAGCTATGCAGAGGCCTTAGTGGGTCTGAGGGGCCTGCTCCAGCGCTGGGGCGAACTTGAACCCCAGCAGTGTTGTCAATACACTTTGCATTCCATGAAAGTCACGCTGTTAGCTTTCTACAGACACATGGGAGCCTCGTTGGAAATCCGGCATTTGCAAGGACATCATTCCTTTGCTCCATCTTCTACATTGTATGGCAGGGACGACATTGCGCCCATCCTTCAGGCACAGGTCGACTTCGTCAAGAAGGTTGCCTCTGGTTGGAGGCCGCGCACGCCCATTTTGCGCGGTGTGACGTACATGCCACGGGAACCACCTGTAGAGCTGGGGACTGTAACCCTCACTGATGTGGAGTGCATTTCGTCTTTACCTTTCTTTCATTGGGAGGTCACTTCGGTGCAGGAGGAAACCTTCAGTGTTGTTGAGGGTGATGCGGAATCAGCCCCCTTGCATGAGTCGACAGCGATTGAACCATCGGTTGTGCATTCGGGGGGACCACCCCCTGTTCCAGAGCCTGTGGAAGGACTTCAGGAAGAGGAGACGTCCGATTCGGAGGTTTCCATTGAACAGGCAGATGAAGTTGCATTTTTATGTGCGGAGACATCATGCATTTTACATGCTTGCGTTGATGGCAAACCTGCTTGCAACAGCCGGGGAACGTTTCGCTTCATTTCTCACCCCGAGTCCAAGGCTCGTTTTTGAAGGGCGCGGGCTTGTGCAGCTGTGTTTTCACGCCTGCTGTGATGCGTGTTTTCCATTCCCTTCATTTCATGGGGGGGGGGGGGACATGGGGGGGGGGAGGTACCCTGTAGGCCCCCCATACATTTTCCCTGTCTCCCACTGACTGGATTTTAGGAGACGATCCAATTTTGCCATTTTGCCGGAGCTATATAATGTCCGGCAAAATGCATTTTGGGGCACGCGTGGAGCTAGGGAGACAAGCTTTGCAGAGGGGTGTGGATGATTTGCTGCCTTGATGTTCTGCCTAAATCTGTCAGTGCATGCTTCAGTCCTTTGCTGTCGAGCTCCAGCCTAGGCCGCCTTTTGGAAGAGCTGCGTGTTTGTTTGGCCATGTTGAGTCTTCTGGACAGTGAAGCTCATTTTGAAAAGAGGGCCTGCGCCAGTCCGTAGGGCAAGGCCATTTCTTACCTTTTCACGTTTTTCGAGCTTGCATCTGCGTACATGCGGCATGTTTTTGCGGATGTCAGCTTGCGCCGGCTGCTCTGTGGCTCTAGCCGCACCTTTCAGTTGAGCGTGCAGTTGCTCAGTGGGGACTCAGGTGCCCCCCTTCCATGTCAGTCCTTGATGCTTTCATGCACTTTCACTAGCTGCATTGCCGAATACTGACCTTGGCAAGTTACATCTTGCTCCTGGGGTGCATTTTTTCTCTAGTTTTCCACACTTTTGTCCACGCCATGGACAACATTCGTGCGCCGCAAGAGATCCAGGATGCATTGCGGCTGATTTACGACACGGATGTCGAGCAGCTCGCTGGCGTGGTTCGTTCGGGCCCGAATTCCGGGCGCCGCAAATTGCTGCTTGCATTGGCGATGGCAGCAGAGCCTACATTGCGTGTGGTACGGGAGGAGCCCCCGCAAGATGCATCTTCTGCATCTCCTGCTCCATTGGTCCCCGAGTCAGAGTCAGGGACCTCCACTACTGCACCATCGGCGACTTCGGCTCCTGCATTGAGTGGATCGGAGGCAAAAGACCCGGCCCCTACATTGCCAAAGGAGCAGCTGGAAGCCCAGCAACGTGCCCCCACTACATTTCAAGTGGCGGATCCAGCGCCTACTCCTACATTGCCTGACACGACGACACCGGTGGCCACGCGCCAAGTTGTCTGTTGTCGAGCTCGTTGCATGGTTTTGGGCTGCAATGCATTATGCGGCTACAGTTCGGAAGTACCGAACGATACACATTTTGCTCCATTGGCTGGCGTTCGTCACCATTGCAAACAACATTTTCGAGCCCGCCTGGAAAACCGTGGCACACAGGGTACATTGCACTCTGGTGGTCAAGATGACCAGCAAACCTGGAGCCAGGACGATCAATGGTCCGATTGGGACCACGATGACTGGGGCTGGGGATCGTGGTCTTGGCGATGGTGATGCATTGGCACCGTGGGCGAAGCAGCTCCCCCCCTACATTTTGTGACCTGGCTTGGTAGGGGGTGTGTACATGGGCTGCACTTTACATTGATTTTCCATGAAGTCGTTTGCATTGGTCTGGCTCTGCAGTCACAGACCAGCGCGGTCTCACGGCATCGTGGAGCACAGCCGAGCTAAAACATAGTGGTTCGCGTGCGGGCAGTTGCATCCCACAGTCTCATTCATGCTTCTTGCGACTGAAGATGATTGCAGCTCTGGCATGTGCATTGCACCTTGGTGCATCTGCTGCATTTCGGGAGCTCAAGCTTCCAACCCGTTTGCGACTCGGGGTGGGGGGGTTCTTCGTAACACCACACACATCACTTCGCATTTATGCACTGCAGTTACTTCTTGTGTCAGCTGGAAGAAGTCTTCTCAGTGTTGCCAACAACTTGTGACCACTTGTGCGGTCTTAGAGCATTCCAATTTTCCTAGCGCTACGCCATTGCGCCCAATTCGACATACAGCGGCCGCCTCCTGTCGCTGCCGTCCCGTCAGTGTGCCTTTCCATTTGTGGGGAAGATGCCGCTGATGTCTCTGGAGGAAGTCCTGAGGGAGGAGAAGGTCCCCGAGGACCTGCTGTCACCCCTGGTTGAGGCTCTGACGTTGCATAGTTTTGCGTGCCTTGCAACAAGTTCTGAGTCTGTGGGAGATGCATTGTTGGATATTTTGGAACCGGCGCTCCATTCGAGTTTGACAACATTGCCATTGGCTTGCATTCGTGCTGCACACATGCGTTGTTTGTCCATGATCAACCCGACGACTTCACAGGAAAGGCCCCAGCCCGTCGCTGGGAGTGAGGCACAACCATCGTCCTCGTCGTGGACGGAGACATTTCCTGCAAAAATGAGCAACGAGAAGGTCGTTACATTGCGGAAGAAGTTTGAGTGCGATTACCCTTCGGAGATTCTTGATTCACATTCCATGCCGTCATCACGTCTACTGGCGATGGCAAACAAACAAGTGCAAGATAAGAGCTTTTCTTACATTTCATGGCGTCACCGACTTAGCGACGAGAAACTGGAGGAGATGCAAGCCACGCGCCCTCGCAAGGTGGCACGCTTTGAGGACTATTTCTTCGATGAAATTCCTTCCAGGGACATTCCTGAGTCGGGAATGAGTCAAATGTTCCTGTTGCATTTACTGGATTTGGTGGCATTTGCATTCTGTCTATTGGGGCGGCTCATCTTTCCAGTTTTCGTTCTTACAGCAGGTTATTTCTTAAGCTTGCCTTTGCACGACCGGCAGCGGAATCCGGCCTGCGAGCCCCCAACGTCTATGAGATGCAGCTCGCCGACAAGGAGGCATGGCGTTGCATTTGTGACTTGGCGAATTCAGGGTGGACACTGGATGATGCTTTACATGAAGTGGTTCAGGTTCGTTGTCTGCTGCAAACTTATTTGCAGCCTCGTGCATTTGTTCCGAAGCCTAAGCCCGGGGGGCGCCAGACAGACGACAAGCTTACAGGCACGGGGCGCCCGGGCAGAGGAAAAGGTGGCAAGGGACGAGGACGTGGGAAGTCAACACCGTCTGGTCCCAAATGGTGCATTGAGTTTTCCGAGGGCGGCGCTCGGAAAGCGATGTGCAAGCGTTGGAATCTTCGCAGCGGCTGCAAGTTGGATTCATGTCAGTTTGTTCATGGCTGTTGCATTGATGTTGGGGGAAAGCCCTGCGGCAAGGACCATCCGGCCTACTTGCACAAGAACTGAAACGGCCCGGGCTCACCGGGGGAGGTGGGTGCCGGGCAGATCGAGTCCTTTCCCCAGCATCACAGACGAGCACCAGCCCCATCGGCGGGGCATACATCTACATCAGCGGAGGAGATTCTAGATCTGTTGGAAAATACATTTACAGAGCCTGTGCATAAATGGCGGCGATTGGAAATTGTGGGCAGCTCTGCATCAGCCTCCTACTACAATGTGGGGGCCTTTTCCCAAGCAGGACGCCTTGGCATCACCAGAGCGTCGCATGATTACTCCAGTATTCTTTGCCGTTTAAACTCATGGTTGTGCATGCTTTTCCCCTTGGGGTCTTGGTCGTCGATTTGCATTTCCCACTGTGAGTGTCTCCGACTACATCGCGATCTTTCCAACATGGAAGGCACGTTGAACTACTCTGTTGCATTGGGCGACTTTTCCGGCGGAGGCCTCCTGCTCGAATCCCCGGAAGGGAAGATTACATTGCCACTTCCTGACTCTGAGGAAACTCGTTGTTTTGTTGTGCATGACACCAAGGCGCATCCATTGGCCTTCGACGGCTCACTGTGGCATGGTACGCAAACGTTTTCTGGCAACAGGTGGGTCATCACAGCTTACACTTGTCGACGCCTGGAGGAAGTGCGAGCTGAAGACATTGCGCTGCTGAAAAGCTGGGGGTTTCCATTACCTTCAGCGGAAATCCCAAAAACGGTCCCCCTTTCATCAGCTACCTCACCGTGTCGGTTTTGCCTACTACTTGCTGATGCTCCGTCAGAAGGCTTGTCGCATGCATTGGCTGCAGATGCTCTCCCCTTTGTCCAGTTCGACCCGGTGATTCAGGCCGATGTTAGGGATCTGGTTTTTCGAGCTGCAGCTGAGGGCGTGTTTCCCTTTATCATGGTGTGCATTCATGCTGCTTGGTCTCCTCGTGACATGGAGTGGGTTCTGCATTTGTGCCACGTGGGGTTTTCTGCAGGCGCACAGGTGGTGGTCGATATATCAACATGGCCATCTTGCTGGGAAACCCCCCTCTTCAGCCACTCAGTGTCATCATTTCTACGCTGCATTGTCTCAGTTCCCCCCTGTGCATTCGGGGAGGCTTGTGGTCCGGCATGGTTGTTTGTTACATCGTCGGAAGCTTTTGCCAGTTTCGGCGACATTTGTGCAAGGCGGACTTGTACACTACATTCAAAGTTGCCCCCGTATCCTCAGAAGTTTAAGGTGGCTCTGTGCAACCTTTTGCCTGGGCTTTACCCAGTCCCAGTCGAGGAGTGGTACATCGGTGGAGGATGCGTGGGCCTGCATTCCGATGAAAGATTTGGCGGCCCCCCCCACGCCTGGGTGGATGGCGGGGGGTTGCAGAGCAACCCTGATTGGAGCGGCCCAGCGAAGGGTCGCAACAATACCCTCAAAATGTTGCGTCATACATTGATGTCCTTTTGTGGAAAGAAGCTGATTCTATCGCGATTGCGGGAACATTTGCGGGAAAAATCTGATTCTCCATTGTTCACTGAACAGGAGGTTGGCGAGCTGCGCAAAGACATTTCCGCTTGGTTCTCCTCGGAAAACATCGATAAGGTGGACTGGTGCATTCCGGAGGGCCAACCTTACTGCCTGCATGCACTCGCCACATTGAGCCATTTCCTGCAAGATGTGGACACTACATTATTTGGTTGCCTGTTGCAGGGCGTACCGACGGGTTTTAAGAATGACATACCACCTTCGGGCTGTATGGCACCGTCTGGCAAAGCTGGCACTGACGAGTCATTACAGGTCTGCCAACAAAATTGGCAGGGTGCTGAAGACGATCCAGTTCTTCTGGATCGCTTGGTTCAGCAGGAAGTAGACAAAGGCTGGTTGCATCGCGTTGAATCGCTTGAAGAGGCGAAACGACTTTTTCCACAAGTGGCTGTGGGAAAA